TCTGCATCCTGACACCTGCCATGGAGATCCTGGGAACCTAAGAGAGACAAGTGAGCCTGGGACATATGGCAGAGGGGAATCGGGTAGGTGGAAAGCAGCAAACTACTCTGCATGTAGGAGTGATCAGACAGGTGTAAAGTAGGCTCACTTATTCTAATACAAGCCGCAGCCAAGAGTGAACATTTAAACAAAATCCTGACTGCTATAATGGCCAGAAGTCTGTTTGCGAGCTGGCAGTGACATCCTTGGCTAAAGGAAAATTAAATCAACCTGTAGGCTGTTGGTAAATTGGTGTGTTAAGCAAATCTAAATCTTAAACTTTATTAATCAGTTCTTTATCATAAGAGTTATTAATTAATTATATTATTCATGTTAAAATCAGTATAATGTAAACCTAAAAAGTAGAGTTTTTGTATACAAAATAGGTGAGCTAAAAGAATGTAAGCTTGAGAGGAGAGCTGACAATTGCTGCTTGATATGAATAAATTCATGGTTTTAAATAAGATTCTTAGATTCAAATTTCTAGGAAAAATATAAGAAAAACATCCATTATTGTATCCACATATGAAATATAAAATACCATTTCAAAATACAGAAATTGTGATTCTGTTAGAAATTGTTGTGAGCTAGATCTGAAATATCTATATTCTGTGTTGTTTCCACATGGATCATTTGCTTACTCTGCAGTTGTTTTACTGTTGAGAATAATTGTGAGCAGAACAGGTCAGGAAGGGTGAAAAACACCTAGCTTACCAAGCAAATTATTATTTGCAGGTTCACTAAGTAGCAGTGATTTCGCTGAACCAAGTGTTTGAATCTTCAAACAAATTTCTGCAATGTCTTTCATCGGTGAAAACAATAGGTGACACAATTCTATATTTTAGACCAAAGGCTTGCTTTATAAATGATGCCCAAGAGAGTTAAACCTGAAGATCCTAATCCAATTCTCTAAATCTAATCAACTCTTACACAGGAACATGCCATTACTAAACTACCATAAACATCTGTAAAGGTTAATGGATTGCATCTTACATTGTCTTTCCTTTTTAGGTCATTTTATGTAGACATGGGTATTTTGTAATTTGTGTCCATATAATACTAAAATGTTAACAAAGATTGGAAGCATGTTTTTGTTGATGCAATAAAAAATATTTATTATAGAGGTAAAAATATTTCAAAAATGAAAATAACTTTAGTGAAGATAAAATACATTGTACATACTGTACAATTCATAGTAGTTAAGTGCTTGCTTAAAACATAAATTACCGTACATCATCATATACAGTGTTCCATATGACAATTCCTCATAAAGTCCATACACTGTGAATAATTATAATTGTGGACTTGTGCTGTGACCTTCATATAAAAGTGCTGGAAACAACACACATCGTGCTCCCTATTGGTGGGAGGGTACCTCTCACTTACCGACTATGATTGTTCAATTTTATTGAGGGGTCACTATCCTTTGTAGCAGCAGCCTTGTTTGATTGATTTAATGTTATTTTTTGCACTTTTTTGTTTTTTTTTGATTCATATAATTGTAATTAGAGATGAGCGATCGAACTGGCGAAGTGGAATTCGTTTCAAATATTGGGAAATATTCGGATTCGCCTTCTAGACCGAATCCGAAGAAATTAGCCAAACTTCGGATGCACGAGATCGAATTTTCCAAAAATGGCGTGCGACATGTGTGGCGACAGAGCGGGGATCTCTGGGGAAGGCGCGCAGACAAGGCGCGCTGACCCATAATGTGCATTCATTCATGACATGTGATCGCATTAGCCAATCAGCAGCCAGCCAGCCAGCACTGTGTAATGGTGGAGCTATAAAAATTGCGGCCATCTTACCAATTCTCCAATTTAGCCTCCGGTTCATTCAAGAGAGACAGACCTGTCTGTATTAGGGACAGAGTTAGGGCCAGAGAGACTTTAGGGGCCACAGAATCGTTACTTAGGGACACAGAATCGTTACTCAGGGACACAGAATTGTTACTCAGGGACACAGAATTGTTACTCAGGGACAGACACAGAAATTGTTACTCAGGGAACACATGGAATTGTTACTCAGGGACAGACACAGAATTGTTACTGAGGGACACAGAATTGTTACTCAGGGACACAGAATTGTTACTCAGGGACACAGAATTGTTACTCAGGGACAGACACAGAATTTTTTACTGAGGGATACAGAATTTGTTACTGAGGGACAACAGAATTGTTACTGAGAGGGACACAGAATTGTTACCTAGGGACACAGAATTGTTACTCAGGGACACAGAATTGTTACTGAGGGACACAGAATTGTTACTCAGGGACACAGAATTGTTACTCAGGGACACAGAATTGTTACTCAGGGACAGACACAGAGTTGTTACTCAGGGACACATAATTGTTAACTCACTGGGACACAGAATTGTTACTCAGGGACACAGAATTGTTACTCAGGGACAGACACAGAATTGTTAATCAGGGACACAGAATTGTTACTGTGGGGACACAGAATTGTTACTCAGGGACACAGAATTGTTACTCAGGGACAGACACAGAATTGTTACTCAGGGACACAGAATTGTTACTCAGGGACACAGAATTGTTACTCAGGGACAGACACAGATTTGTTACTCAGGGACACAGAATTGTTACTCAGGGACACAGAATTGTTACTGAGGGGGACACAGAATTGTTACTCGGACACAGAATTGTTACTCAGGGACAGACACAGAATTGTTACTCAGGGACTCACAGAATTGTTACTCAGGGACACAGAGAATTGTTACTGAGGGACACAGAATTGTTACTCAGGGACAGACACAGAATTGTTACTCAGGGACACAGAATTTGTTACTCAGGGACAGACACAGAATTGTTACTCAGGGACACCGAATTGTTACTCAGGGACACAGAATTGTTTACTGAGGGACACAGAATTTGTACTCAGGGACAGACACAGAATTGTTTTACTCAGGGACACAGAATTGTTACTGAGGGACACAGAATTGTTACTCAGGGACACAGAATTGTTACTCAGGGACAGACACAGAATTGTTACTCAGGGACACAGAATTGTTACTCAGGGACACAGAATTGTTACTGAGGGACACAGAAGTTGTTACTCAGGGACAGACACAGGAATTGTTACTCAGGGACACAGAATTGTTACTCAGGGACACAGAATTGTTATCAGGGACAGGACACAGAATATTTGTTACTCAGGGGACACAGATATTGTTACTCAGGGACACCAGAATTGTTACTGAGGGACACAGAATTGTTACTCAGGGACAGGACACAGAATTGTTACTCAGGGACACAGAATTGTTACTCAGGGACACAGAATTGTTACTGAGGGACACAGAATTGTATACTCAGGGACACAGAATTGTTACTCAGGGACAGACACAGCAATTGTTACTCAGGGGACATAGAATTGTTACTCAGGGACACAGAATTGTTACTCAGGGACACAGAATTGTTACTCAGGGACAGACACAGAATTGTTACTCAGGGGACACAGAATTGTTACTCAGGGACACAGAATTGTGTTAATGAGGGACACAGAATCGTTACTCAGGGGACACAGAATCGTTGAATTAAAGAGTATGTCAGACTAAACACGCGCAGAGAGGAGGAGTGGCAGAGGAGGGCAATGTTTCAATGTTTCAGGAGCAAGCAGACGTGGCAGCAGAGAAAGGGGGTCGAGGCAGCACTAGTCACAGCCAGAGGCCAAGTGCTCCTGGTGTCAGTTCAGCGGTCGTGTCTCCACCGACACCCTGCCGTCATCGATTGGTTGGCTTGGTCGTCTTTCTTCCCTCCAGGTCACCTCTGACACCTACAGCCAACGGCCACATACGGTGGGTACGTCAGACACAAACCGTTAGTTGGCATGGCCCGGGAGCAAGTCCCACTGAAATCACGTCGTCCTCTACCTGCCCCTGTCCTTTGGTGTTTCCTCACCAAGCGAATTGTATCGCATGCTGTGGGCTCAGCCCCACTGTTACAGTGCTTGAGGAAGAGCTAACAGAGGGCGGTCAGGAACGGGGGGAGATATCCGCCACTCTTTCAGCAGCCAGGCGAAGAGAGAAGTACTGGCGTAGGAGAGTGGCTCGGTAGCGGTAGTCTAGAGTACAGGTCTGTCTCCTGACCACACGCAGCCGAGGGGGGGCTAGTAGTGAGGCCGGGAGACCCTAATTGATGATGATGAGGCTGATCGCACTTGGTAGCCTCGTCGTCATCTGCCAGGCCCGTAATCTGCCATGGGCCCCTCGTACCGACTCCTCATGCTGCTGGCCAGGCCAAGTAATCTGTCATGGGCCCCTGTGTACCCCCTCCTCATGCTGCCTTGCCAGGTCCAGAGTGTGTCATGGGTCCTGTACGGCCTCTCCCATTGCTGCTGTCTCCATCGCCACACTCTGCCAATGTGCCACTTTCAGGTCTCCTCACACTGCTGGGTGGGTTCCATTTTGTCATAGGGTGCTGGCAGATTACGGGGCCTACCATTGCTGCTGCCAGGCCTACCTTAATCTGTCATGGGCCCCCTGTTGTAAGTCGCTGAGTTCTCCTCATGCTGCTGCCAGGTCCAGCAGTGTGTCATGGGGTCCCTGTACGGCCTCCCATTCGCTGCTGTCTCCATCGCCACCACTCTGCCATGTTGCCAAACTTTCAGGTCTCCTTCACACTGCTGGTGGGGTTCCATTTGTCATAGGGTTGCTGGCAGATTACGGGCCTCCCATTGCTGCTGCCAGGCCCGTAATATCTGCCATGGGACCCCGTACCGCCCTCCTCATGCTGCTGCTCAGGTCCAGAGTGTCTCATGTTGGGTCCCTGTACGGCCTCCCATTGCTGCAGTCTCGATCGCACCACACTCTGCCATGTGCCACTTTCAGGTCTCCTCACACTGCCTGGTGGGTTCCATTTTGTCATATTGGGGTGCTGGCAGATTACGGGCCTCCCATTGCTGCTGCCAGGCCCGTAATTTCTGCCATGGGCCCCCGTACCGCCTCCTCATGCCTGCTGCCAGGTCCAGAGTGTCTCATGGGTCCCCTGTACGGCCATCCTTCCATTGCTGCTGTCTCCATCGCCACACTCTGCCATGTGCCACTTTCAGGTCTCCTCACACTGCTGGTGGGTTCCATTTTGTCTAATAGGCTGTGCTGGCAGATTACAGGGCCTCCCATTGCTGCTGCCAGGCTCGTAATCTGCCATGGGCCCCCGTACCGCCCTCCTCATGCTGCTGCCAGGTCCAGAGTATCTCATGGGTCCCTGTACGGCCTCACCATATTGCTGCTGTCTCCATCGCCACACTCTGCCAATGTGCCACTTTCAGGTCTCCTCACACTGCTGGTGGAGTTTCCATTTTGTCATAGGGTGCTGGCAGATTACGGGCCTCCCATTGCTGCTGCCAGGGCCCGTATATCATGTCATGGGCCCCTGTACCGCCTCCTCATGCTGCTGCCAGGTCCAGAGTGTGTCATGGGTCCCTGTACCGCCGATCTCATGCTGCTTGCCAGGTCCTAGAGTGTCTCATGGGTCCCTGTACGGCCTCCTCCATTGCTGCTGTCTCCATCGCCACACTCTGCCATGTGCATCACTTTCAGGTCTCCTCACACTGCTGGTGGGTTCCATTTTGTCATAGGGTGCTGGCAGTTTACGGGCCTCCCATTGCTGCTGCCAGGCCCGTAATCTGCCATGGGACCCCGTACCGCATCTCTCCTCATTGCGGCTGCTGCCAGGTCCAGAGTGTCTCATGGGTCCTGCTGTACGGTCCCCTCCCATTGCTGCTGTCTCCATCGCCACACTCTGCCATGTGCCACTTTCAGGTCTACACTCACACTGCTTGGTGGGTTCCATTTTGTCATAGGGTGCTGTATGGCCTCCCATTGCTGCTGCCCTCCACCGCCACACTGTGGCTCCCACACTCTGGTTTTGGCCCCGTGACTGCACACAATGAGTGAAGTGTGCGGTGATTCTAAGATCGATAGGCACTCATCTGCATGTCATATGACTGACTGACAGTATTATTTCTCTTCCCCAGCAGACTCAAGGGCATTTAAATTAAAGGTACAGTGTTCTGCACTAATTAAAGGCTCTCTGAAGCCTATAAACACCCTTTTTATAAGTTAAATTCGCAGCGAATATATTCGACTCGAATCAAATTTATTTCGCAAATTCGCCGAATCGAATTTTTGAATACTTCGCTCATCTCTAATTGTAATAATTAAATATGTCTATTCTGTGATGTTCACTTAGCCGTTCACTTGGTTTGGTGCACACATATACGTATTCATACACATATTCGTTTTCATATTCAAGCTCAGGTTAAAATATTATTATTTATTGTACATACTGTAACATTTACCAATTACTTTGTTACATATTACACTTACCTATATAGTATATTATATATTATTATATTCCTTAGGGATGTACGATTTACGATGAGTTCAATATGTGGAGCATTCATGGAATCCTGCAATTAGTGAAACCCAAGCTAAAAATCCCATTGAAGCAGATCTGAAAGCTACAGGATGCTCTATAAACAGTTGGCCAGTGAAAAAAAAACAGTTGAATAGTATTGTTTGTTACTTTTTTGCAGTACCATGTTGCATTGCCTTTAAAAAAATACAAAAAAAAATAAAAGCAGAGTATAGAAAACCTTTTTTTAAATTCACAATACCACATTCCCAGAACTAGGGCAGTATGTAAGCACTCAAATAAGCAGGAAACAGAAAGAGACAGGGCAGGTTTTATCTTGCAATACAAATTAAAGTGTATTATCTGAGAAACAATGACCACAAATATTGTTCAGTACCTGGACAGGTTGTAAGCAGCTTGGTTAGGCTGAAAATATATAAGGGAAGGAAGAGGCAGGTTTTATCTTGAAACAGAAATTAGAATGTATTATTTCAGAGACAGTAGCTACAAATATTGTTCAGTGGCTGAACAGAATGTAAGAAGTTTGATTAAGCTGTAATATAAGAGTGAGAGATCAGCCAAGTTTTATCTTGAAATAAACACTATTGCGTATTTTTTTATAAGCTGTAATCTAAGAGGGAGAGATTGGCCAAGGTCTATCTTGAAATAAACTAAACTAAAATTAAAGTACATCTGTAAGTAATGTTTCAAAGATAATAAAAAATAGTTATAAAGTTAATGTGTGACTGCTTTGGTCATGAACTAGACAGGGGCTAAATTATCCACATAGAAGTGGTAACCATGATAAAATATGGATGATACAAAGCCCCACACGATTTTTTCAGATAGGTTGGGAATTCAGGTGGCTCCAGTTGCTTTTTCGTTCATAAACCTGGAAGATGTACGTGTACCTTTTATTCCTCTAACAAAGTTTTTATAACTTCACCTCATATCTGGCCAATTTTCTGTTTGATGGCCAGCCTGCCGGTAGAATGGATGAGGGAATCATTAACACAAATATTTTTGTTGGGAAAATATATTTCAGAAAAGTTTTTGAAAAAAAACAAAATAATGAGTTGTGGAATCTTGTACAGCTTGTCACAAGCAAGTTGATTTTAAGTAGAGCACAGGAATTTATCATTGAAATGTACAAACCTCATGGTGTGTGGACCAGTAGGAGTGGGCTTGTTTTTTTTTTTTTTTTTTTTTTTTTGTGAGTCCCATATTTAGTGTAAGTCCAAGGAAAATTTTAAGTTCTTCAACTGCGATAGGTATCCATTGAAATAGATGGGCATAGGATGAATTTGGATTATTAGCAATGTACTGTTGCACATACAGATTGTACTGGTCCACAAAAAATTTGATAATTCCTCAGTAAAAAATAGATTTAAAAAATTAATGGGTGTAACATTTTCAGGTACTATATGAGGGCCTGGCTGTGCTGTAAATGGGGGAATTATGGGTGGTGCTAAATTTAAAGGAAGCTATATGGGATTCAAAAGCACCTCTGGGACACTAGTATGGCTCCAGATCCTTGGTGGCTGATATGACACCCACTGCTTGTACGTAGCTTATCATCCAGGTGTACTACGCTACTGGTGCTTAAACAAATAAATAAAATTGTGGTCACTTCTATGGTTCAACAAAAAGCTTACTCCTAATAATAGTGAAAAACACTACAGCATAAACAGTTATATAGCCCTTTTTTGCACATAACCCTTATCCCATATAAGGTCAAATCATTATATACAGTGACAGATGCAGTGCTACAAATTAAACACAACCTAAATCCAAATTTGTTAATAAAGATATTAAATAAATATTTTAAATAAAAAGACCAACAATCTTCTTTATAGTGCTTCCCTCCTCCTGCAATCACCAAGTGCTTCAAACATAAAAGTGAAAAATTCCACCACCAGATGTCTGCTCACTTCCAGCTGTGTGTCCTCACATAGTATTATGTTTGGTCTAACTGCATGTTTGGTCCCAAAATGGACACTGAAGATCAACTTGATGGATTTCAACTGTAGTTCACACACCTTGTTCCAAATACAACTCCCACCAACACTTCACCTCATAAACAAAAGACTCCACATGCCATTTTGTTTGTGGACAATTGAGGCGCACCATTTTAAAGTAGTGCATACTCTATCCTAATAGGACTTAAGATGAAATGTAGGATTTATCTTATTTAAATGAGACTACATATTATATACTACTTAAACCGGGATGAACCCTCACTGTACAACACAGAATCTCAGATGGCCAGAGAGAAACAAACATAAATTTAAAACTTTATGAATGGAAAGCATATCCTATCTTCCCCCTCCAATTAGCCATAATGTTCATTGTATGGAACATCTACTCTTGAAAATTAATTCTGTTATTAATAATTTTATTTATAATAACAATAGTCCCCACAGTGACCTAGGGCTTTGATGAAAGAAAACATCAAAGACATAAAAAAACCCAAGTCACTGTCATGAATTTAAAGGGGTATTCAAGATGCAAAACACAACCCTTTTTAAATACAATAAAACTTTTTTTTTTAATGTATTAAAAATATAAATAAACTCTATTCCCCTTTTTTTAATAATCACTTATAAAGAAATTTAAATCAAATTCTTTGTTCATTCCTCTTAGAGCCAAAGTCTTCAACTCATGGATCCAAAAGGACTCTCTTTTACTCAACTCTCTAATCTTATTATCACCCCTCCAGTTACGTTTATAGGACTTGATCACCCAAAATTGCAATCCTTATTATGTGCATCTAAAAAATGTTTTGATACAAAATGTTTAGGAAACCCCTTACTAATGTTATAAACGTGTTCCTTCACTCTTTCCCTTAACGTCCTATTGGTGCTCCCACATATTGGAATCCACATGGGCACGAAAGGGCGCAAACCACCCCTTTCGTGTCACAAAAAACAAAATCCTTGATGGAATACTGTAACAAAACTAATAAACAATCTTCTTCTCCTGTTATTATTCCTAACTCTAGTGCAACTATGACACCGACCACAGGCAAAAAAACCTTTACCACTAAAAAATGAAAAACCTGATTTACTAGGAGGATACAATACATTGCAAACCAATGTATCCCTTGGAACAGTAACAAGCCAAGGCTTATAATGGCAACTATTAATAGGTATTTATGAATTCCTATCCATATTTTTTTTTAAAGTTTTAGTTCTTAGACCTCCCTCATCTTAATTAAACTCCAGATCCAAAAAATGTATCCGACTCTTACTTGACTCCCAATTCAGCCTAATATTCCTATTATTATCATTAATTTTAGCCAACATTTCTTCTGAACCCTGTGAGCTCTCGTCCCACAGAATAATCAGGTCATCAATGAACCTGTGATATAAATTTAACTGTGAGATGTTCGCCTTAAGGACAACCTCCTGCTCATACTAGGTCCTATAAATATTGGTACGCCATATCCGGTTTCAAGTTATGTCACTTCCGGTCACGTGGTGATGCACGTCCGGATGCAGCGGCCATATTGGGTTTCCCCTGGTTTCATGCAATACACCCATGGCATGGGGTGAAACGCTGATGTAACAAGAAATATATGTGAGTGCAATCTTTGTTTTTCATGCTGTCTTTATTAAACGTCATTGCACTATGGAAGGATTTCTCTTGTGTCGTATATACTACTGAATGGAGGTGGGGTGGAATAGAGAAGTCTCCAATTCCCCTGTGATCCCTGGATGAGCTATCTACATATAAGGATCTGATACAGAGGAGAGTAATAGCCTTTTGGCCCTGTGTGGGGAGGTGAGCAGGCACTGCTGCCATTTGAGGATTTGTGCACTAGAAGTGAAGATCACTTTTCCACGAAGTTTCACTTGCATTAATTTTTGATTATTCACAGATGGTGGTCCTATATTTGTGTGATTCACAGTTATATGATGAAATAATTTGACTGAATTTTATATATGCACATGGTATTGTTGTCATTACCATTTCACTTTAAGAACTTTTGTTCAAATTGCACTGATGTATATATGTATATGAGCTTTCTCTCACAGAGCACTAATTGTTAGGTATAATATTCACTTTAGTATTTATTTATTGATAATAATTATACAGCGCTTCACTAATTTATGTTAACAAGTTGTTTAAAGTTACTGCTAATTTTCTCATCTTTGCAAAAATTCCCTCAAAAATTGGAATTGTGGGCATGATTATATCTTATGTTTAATTTATTAA